GGAAAGACCTAACCAAACCACGACCAATTGGACCAAACCATGACAAAGTCACTTTACTAAACGCTCCTAGATATGACGACGTTACTGCTCTTGTGGATATTTTTTTCTACATTCTCAATTTTTCATGATATCTAACTAAAACAATAAGACCAATTTCAACTGAATTTTACAGTGATATCTATGGTGAATTTGGTGAGGCGTTGTATTCTTAGAAACTCCACCCATAAAATTAATATATATCAGTATAAATAAAGCAGTTTATTCTGCAATCACAGCTGTTGAGTTGTATATCTAAAGATTATTTTGGACGATAATTAAACAAATTGTATAAGATACTGAATGGAGAGATAATTAGTAAATGATAACAATTTCAATATCATAAGTAAACAATGTATATCGTTCATTTATCTCTTTGTAAACTACCTTTCTCTGAAAAGTAAAAGATTGATTCCGATCGCTGAGAATGGACGTATTTCTTTTTATTCTCGATCTTTTATCGTCAGAGAAGCAATATATTTTCTCCTATAAACAAGAAAATAAAAATCAAAAAATATTTGAATTAAGATATAAATGAATATTGAAATACTGCCGATTATTATAGATTACCTTTATTTCCTCTGTTGAAATTATCATCCTGAACATGCATGAAATATTTGCCACTGGACGTAAAGCAATCAACAATCAATCAATATTTTGAAATTATAACTCAATTATCTTTAGTATAGAATATTTTGAGGTTTCTTGTCTTCATATAAATTGGCAAATAAGTTGTTGTTTATTTCATTTATGTTTGCAGAACGTTGATTATGTTAACAGTTTTCCAATTTAATTTGATATTCCGCCTCGCTGATCTCGTGGTAACATGATCGAGTCGAGTGTAGGGGTCGTGGATTCGTCCACAGGCCGGGTCATACTAGAGGCTTCTCTGCTAAGCACGCGGCAAGCGGTAAGACCATAGACTGGTCGGCTCGGAGTCTAAAAATGTCAGGATATTATGGCATGTCTTTCCGCAGACTATAATCTTGTGAACTAACACGTTAAAAACCAGACACAGTGTTTCGGTCAATCCTCCTCCTTCTCCTCATCATCATCGTATACAAATAAGAAGTTGTGGTATGATTACCAACTATCCACCAAAGTTCAAATGAAGTGGATGTAAGCAATTATAGGCATTGTCGTTTGTTTATGTGTTACATATTTGTTATTCGTTCATTTTTTGAACATAAATTAGGCCGTTAGTTTTCTCGTTTGAATTGTTTTACATTGTCATTTTGTGGCCTTTTATAGCTGACTGCATGTGCGGTATGGGCTTTGCTCATTGTTGATGGCCGTACGGTGACCTATAGTTGTTAATTTCTGTGTCATTTGATCTCTTGTGGATAGTTGTCTCATTGGCAATCATACCACATCTTCTTTTTTATATCCGTAATGGCTTCAAGACCTTCAACAATGAAAAAGAAAAGCTCATACCGTTTAGTCGGCTATGAAAGGTCCGACATGAAAAGTATGAAACAATTCAATTGAGAAAAGGTAACGGCCTTATTAGTAACAAAACAATTTACGAAAAACAAATATGACAGACATGAACCAATGACAACCCTTGAACTACAGGCTCCTGACTTGGGACAGGCACATACATAATGTTGCGGGGTTAAAAATGTGTGTGAGCGCTCAGCCCTCTCTTAAACTGGGACAGTGGTGTAACAGTAAAACATAAGTACAAACTATAAAAATCATTTGAAAGGGGCTTAGCTTATCAGATCGATACAAAGCAGGAACACATCTAACAAAAACACAGACCGAACAGGGAATTTATACATCCCTCACAACAAAAAAAGACACAAAGTACAGATCTGAGAGTATGTTTTACCATTTTCTGTTTCCAAGACAATTAAACATTTTAAAAATTAATTCTGACGGTTGTCTTTAAGTCTATCTTGGGTGCCCAGTCTGAATCGGGCATTGATGTGTTCTATAAATCTATGATCTTTTGGTTTTGGTTCGTAGATCAATATCATAGAGAATGGAAAGGGCTGATTTCATTTTGATCATTTGAATACACAAGCCGCATTTTTTTAAAAAATGAACCCCATGGTGACGGTGCAATGGTCATTTTAAAGAAAATGTGCGCTGGAATAAGCACCTGTGTTGAGATGAGCTAACTCATGCTCGTATTTATTTGCACTCTGCGTAAAAAAATATTTATGCTGTTTTCCATGCAGTCAGTTAGAAATGATGACATTTGACCTTAACCACATCTGTTTCTGATGCCTTTCATGTGTTTATGAACAAGAAGGACATTTTAATTACCTCCAAAGTGAAAAATTTCTTTTTACACATTTGTACATTTGTACTTTTCTATTGTGTAAAATTTCCATATCATTTCCAAGTTATCAAAACACAATATGTGTTTGCAAGACGATACCACATGAACGCGTTTTTTGTGTATAATTTAAAAAGATAAAATTATGTTAAGTCAGTCATAATTATAAACTTGAAGTCAATTTTTATAGCACTGTGGTTTTTAAGAAAATTAAAGATACATTTTATGATGTATATATGATTAAAGATCACTTTAAATTAATATTTCAGCTATAATCTTATCTAGTTGCGAGGGACAAAGAGGGAAACCTTTTGTTGATAGAATTTGAGAAATATCAGAATACAGAAAAATGTACAGTTTATTGTTCAACGTCTTGTGAAATAACTAAAGCGTAAACGGGTTCTGCGCAGAAAAACAAACTTGATATACTAAGCAAGTATCTGTCAAATACTGAACGTAACTGTTGACAATCATAGAAAAAAATCCAGTGTCGGGTATAAATTATATCAACTGTCTTTACAATTAATTGAACTACAGAATACCAAAGTGTAAATCAGACTTGACTAGTACTATCCTATGGTAAATATCTTGTCAAAAGAAATAAAAAGATCTTATCGTTGGTTACTAAGTTGATTATCTTCTATACTCCGATGTGTTTTGTATTACGATTTCTGTTATCACTTCTTAGCTTCGGGTTGAATATTACTGTTAGAAATTTTGACTGGACTGGACTTTTTACGCAACGTGTTTAAATTCAGTATTGATTATAGTGTTTTATTAGGTATATCGCTTAAAATTCATCCACAAAGGAAATATAGTTATGGTGCTTTTGTGAAGAAAAATCGGATATTAGTTTCTTATAACAATGTCTCTATTAAACTCGTTCCTGTTGCGAGATGCTATAAATTTTGCACGTCTACTGGCCCTAGGCGTATACTTAATCGCTGTGTGTTCGGGTGCCCCAGCAGATCCATCAGATGACGAAACCCAAGCTAAACAATGGCTAAAGGAATATAATAAAAGGGCATCTGAAATTTATTACAGTGACTCTGTTGCAGCTTGGAATTGGAATACCAATATAACTGATTATAACCAAAATATATCTGTAAGTATGATTTTTTCTTGATTTTCATTAATAAATTTGAAATATTATACCCAAACTTTCCTTGATTTTAATGTTGTAGAATATCTTACATCTATGATAAACGTTAATACAGTAACTATTTGACAATCTTTTTAAATCGTGGTTTCTGTTTGTCATTTGTTTTAAATTATGGAGTTTCAACTAGAAGTGTTTCCAATTTTCCCTGATTTTATTTTAACACCAGGGATATTTTCAGAGCCATCAAACTTTTAAGTAGTAAAATCCATTGTGTCACAGTTTCATGTGTGTATGTGCCATTTATTCGGTTGCTATACAATTTATCAACTATGAAGCGTTTTGTTGAGTGAGCCCAGCGAAAGAGTATAAAAAAGTATAAAAAAAGTCATACTTTGTCGAGCAGCTAATATTTACAATTTCAATATAATGAAAATTTATCGGATTGTATTTCTGTGTTTGTCATGATAGAATCAATTGATTGATTGATTGTTGGTAGCTTAACCGTTCCAGTTGCATATATTTCATGCATGTTCAGGACGATGATAGACTCAATAGTTTTTCTATGTTTCATCGACGTTTTTGACGTGAAATTTTATGAAAAGCTGAGCAGAGTGATACAGGCAGAGCGGGGTAGACCGATAATCTGAGTTTCTATCAATATTACGTTATATGTCTGAAACGAGTGACCACATTAAATACGCCTAAAGACTGTCCAAAACTGCAAAAGGCAGGAAAGGAAATTCTTCACGGAAACAAAAATTTGGTCCTTATAAAAGTTATGCACTGTTTGTTCAGATTCAAACTTTGGCTGGAATGTTTTACAGAAACATTTAAAACTGTGATATTGTATTAAACTGTCATAAACAGCAATTTTAAGTTCTAAATAACGTTTTCAAATCTCTACCATAGAAGTATCATAACAACCAAAATTGCCAAGTTCGGCAATAAAATGATCGGAATGTAAGACAGTCTGAACAGATATTGCATAATACAGTGTAGGTTAAAAGAGTTTTTCTTTCCTGAAAAAAGCTGTTGTATTCATGTCTCCGTTTCATACTGTAAATGTTGAAATGTCACTGATTTTATTACTACACCCCCACCCCCCCCCCCCCCCCCAAAAAAAAAAATAAAAACCCATCAAAAACAACTGGGAGTGTTATATTGACAATATCAATATAATATGTCCATGGTATAAATAAATCAAAGGACTTTTCAGATTGGAGTAAATGTAGCTAGCGTGAATTCAAGACAGTTCAAGTTTCTTTTTTTGGAGGACTAGTTTAATTCTACGTCATCTGGTGGAGAGTTATTTTTATATAGACCTACGTCAGTCTTTAGTTTTCAATTGATCTATTTTGTGGATAGTTATTTGTTTTTACTTCTTCTCTTTTCTCCTGTTCGTGATATCGTGTGACTAATTTGTTATTGCTTCTTGGTATCTTCACGGCTTACTTTTTTTTATCATTAATTGAATATTAGCCTGCTACATACGTACATTTCATTTACAACTATACTTTTATTTCAGGTTCATGTATCATTAGAATCTTCGAAGTTTACGCAAATGGCTGCAGAAAATGCGTCCGAATTCAGCTGGCAAAACTTTCATGATGAAGATGTCAAACGCCAGTTTAATATGGTAACGGATCTTGAAACAAGTGCTCTGGACAAATCAAAGCTGGAGAGGGTAAACGCACTTTATATTACGGATATCATGAATAGAAACAATTTTCTTTTACCTCTAACCTTAATCCAAAGTACACTTGTATACTATATCAAGGGTAACCCTGAGATTACCGTATAACAATTTATAATTTGATTTGTGTTATAGAAATCTCAAGATAACTACAAGAAAAGTGGTGAATATTCAGTAGGGTCTGGATGGGGGTCTTTATTTCTGTATTCTTTAAATTTATCTTTTACTTTGAAAATAACACTAATTAGGTTCCGACCAGAATATTACATTTTTAAAACGATTTCGCACGCCAGATTTTAGTAAATCCGACGTGCGAGCCGCAATGTTGACCTTTTAACAAAGTGAGCGCAGAGGTCTCAGGGCTAAAAGATAAATTCATGCATATGGTCCCAGATCAGAGTGACTGTCAATTCGTTAAAAAAGTTGTTTGAAAAATAATAAGAGAGCCACGTGTTCTGTTTTTCGCTAGTAAACGGAGATGTCAATCTCATGTATTACTCTGGTCATATAAAGGTCGAAAGAGAGACATATACAACACAGAATTGTATGGTTATTATGAAATATTTTTGATTACTGGGAAATCATTATTTGTCATGATACAAATATTGAAATAAGGTGTACTTTTTACATCGCGATGACCGTGAGGGCATTCTGATGTATTGTTGCCGACGATATTTCTACTTACGTAACTTTCGTGTATGACTGGTAACCGACCTATAAATACGCGGACATTATCGAGTGCAAAATAACATTCCTTATCGCTTGTTATAAATTCATTTCTTAAATGAATACTCATAAAATATTTTTGTTTAGAACATAAATTAATAATATGAAAATGTTGTGTCGTTAGAAATATACATATAAGTAAAAAATCCGGCATTGATAATATCTATGCACACGTACGGAAAATTGTGTTAACGCATGCGGAAGAATATATCAAGAACGTTTTGCGGGAAAATATGAATGCCTGCTCAAATCCAATCTAATAGAAAAATCATATGATTACAGAAGAGTGTCCACCATGCACTTGCACTGCACTATTATTAGAATAGTAAAACAGAATGATATACAAATGGATGAAAATTATATTTTATACATGTAACTGTTATATACAAACATTAACATAATATATAACAACAAACCAGAGTATACTGATTTGTATCACTACAATATAATAGTTATTACGGTGGCGTTGAATTCCCTGTCATTTATTCATTATCCACGCACGAACTTGTCTCAGAGAAAAATATATCTCTGTACATTAACCTCACTTTCAGTATACAGATGTGATTTTTTTTTCTGAGACAAGTGCTTGTGACCATCCACAAGAACTTGCGGCCATCATAGTCCGATGTTCAGTACTTCAGTACTTTGATTTCCTATATAGCCATATGATTTTTCGTGCAGAAATTCATATTTGTCTTTTACAAAAAGTATAAATCATAAATATATTTCACAATTAATGGAAGAAACTGCAGATTTTTCTGTATTTAAGGGCCAGAAAAAAATCATTCAATTCAGACAGAAAATATCTTCAGTAGATTTTTTTTTTATTAAAAATATGTTTTTATATGAAATAAAAAGAGAATTTCCGATAGGTGAAATTTTTATCAGTAATGTGCGTGGAATTTATTAAGTGTTGTTTTCATTTTTATATGTACCAAGACAACTACTTATTAAAGTATAGAGATGCTTTCACGATGTTCCATATGTTTCACTTCCCTTACATGTAGATTCCCCTACCTTTGTAGTTGGGTAAATTAAAAACTTGACAGGATTTTGCAGTGCACTTTTTTTCATTCCTCCAGAAGATGCCAAAATAAACTAAGTTGTGAAAGAGGTTTGAGAACTTCCCCACAGGTAATAATTGAAGAGAACTGTATTGATTGACATGGACAATAGATGGACAATAGTTACCTGACAATAATTGGTGATTTAAAGTGTACCTGAGTGGACCATATCAAGTGAAACTCAACTGTTTGTTAATTTTATCCCCTTCTGCATGCCCTTCTGCAGGGACGAAGAAAAGTGCACTGCAAAATCCAGTTAAGCTTTAAATTTTCTAAAACATACAATGCATTTGAATTTTATTTATCTAGGGCATGCTCACTGTGTCTAAACTACCCCGGCAAAAAATGTTTGGACTCGATGGTATCTTAATATCCGGCACTGTGACGGAACATCAATAGACAGAGAAAAGTTAGGTTTCTGTTTATTTATTTGTTATTTTTATGATATCAAAGAATATATATACATATATAACTATTTTCTATTGTGAGATGTAATATTTTCTACACCCGTTCTAAATTAACGGAGAAATAAGTAATAATGCATGTCAAAATGACAAATTGAGTGAACCTTGCCTCGAATTTGTTTAATTTCTCGTTAAATTGTTCACATTGTATGGAAAGAAAGATATTGACATGGAGATTGCAAAACTAGTCACCTTTAGCACCTTAATACTTGTATTTGTTTGTATGGCACAAAAGAAATGGGTCATGTCAAAATGGAAACACCCGGTTTTGTCAATGTGTACAACCCAGTTTTGTCCTAGATTTCACAAGGCAGAACTCCGTTTTGTCAAAGAAAAAAATGCAAAATCGCATAAAAATGATAATTGAACTTCAGCGTTTAAAAGGAGTTTGATAGCTCGTTGGAACACGATTTCTTGCAGGGGACAACTTATTATCTATTTGTATCTGTAAACACTTAAATTTGCACTTTATTGGAACAAAAATAATTATAATTTTGCTTTGCATTTAAAAAAAATTATTTTAACTGCGAAATAGATAGAAATGAAGGGTATAACGCAAATTGAGGTACAAGCTCTTTATGTTTTTTTACATGAATTATGTAAATTTAAGTGTTTAAACTTGAATTTAGAGAGTTTGCGGTCTTAAAAATTGAAGCACACATATTTGATATGTGATTTTCTTGCACAGCAGGATGGTTATCTTTATAAGGAATCCAATCTACCTAGGGATGTAATCTTTCCTATGATCGTTTAAAATAAATCCTCTTAAGGCTAAATGTTCATTATAAGACATGATAATAAGACATATGTATATGCATGCAGAATCGCCATAGAAAATGAATGTTTATGGGGAGAAAAGGATTACAATATTCATGCGTTAAAAATCAAATGTATTTATCCCTAATTGTAACTATGTGATACTAAGTAGTATAATAGTCTCAGGTCATCGAGAAAATGCAATAATGATTATTTTATTAATAGTTCTATAAATAAACGGTTCTGTTATCTCTCCATTGTGTTATGATATCGTACATTGACGTTGGTCAATATATTATTGACAATATATAGGGACGGACTCAGATTTTTTCATAGCCTGGCATCCTGACCGAATCTAATACTTCGTCGAGCAGTGAGCCAGGATCCCAGGCTAATTTTTGCAAAGTGGGCATAATTCAAACAGCAAAGCGAACAATTTTATGGACGATTTTATGCTTAAAAAAACAGAAAAAATTCATTTAATATTTTTGTCCATCAAAGGTGGGGGTGGGGCCGTGGGACCTTTACGCCCCATGGATTTGCCACAGATGTTATATAACCTAATCGTAACAAACTTAAAATTTTTATCAGAAATAAGAAAACAGGGACACCCGCAAAAAATTGGATGTATGTGAGTAGGATTATCATGTTTATTCTAAATATCACATTGATATTTTGGAATCGTCGGAATGCGAGAACAAGGAATGCAAATTTGTGGCGGCTTAAACTATTTGTATGAAGCTTCATACTTCAGAAGTTAGAAGGCCTGACTACAACATACCTCGCACACAAATATTTTATGTTATGATGTTTCTATCCGTCATATGTCCATTGCCCTTGACCTCATTTTCATAGTTCAGCGATTTCCTAACAAAATTGTTATTTTTTTTTATCAAGTGAATAAGACACTAATTATGATATCTGTGATCAAGATTAACATTTGGTGTTCAAATCTGTATCTCTAATGCCATAAGTAATAGGTCAATTATATTTGCTCGAATGGCCACATGACTCTTTATGTGACCTTGAACTTATTTTCTTGATTAATTTGTAAATGTTAGGTGTTTTTTTTTGGTTGGTTGGTTGGTTTTAATGTGTTCATGTCTGTCTGGCAGGTTTCATCAGACCTTGACTTTTTATGTTCAGTTTATGTGATACCTTTATTAAATTGTATATTTTACAGACCTTCAAACTAAATTCAATTACGATCATTCAAGCAGTCGCAACATGTCAGTGCGTACACTCTTGTATAAATTATTTTTGTTAATTTTTTTGAAAAAACGCAAGTGAATGTGTTTTGCCATGTCTGATTAGTTTATCTTGTTCGTATAAGCCTTAATTATGAATTGTTAGACATTTTTTTTTAAATTCAAGAACGATGCAATCTTGTTTGGGATTCTTGGTTGGTTTTATAAGCTCACCTGACTCAAAGGGAGAAATGAGCCTTTTTCATCACTTCACCCGTAGTCCGTCGTTCGTCGTCTTACACTTTTACATACATCTCTAAAATTACTGGGCTACATTTAACAAACCTTATCCACAATCTTATGTAGGTTTTAAAAGTTCTAACGAACTTATGTTTTACTGTTTTGTAATCGTCGTACGGGTATTTAGTTTAAAAGTTTTGGATGACCCCGCTTGTCAACCAAGATGGCCGACATGGCTAAAAATAGAAAATATGGGGAGGAAATGAAAGTTTTGTATAATATTTGAAAACAGCTATATATAGAGAAAATTAGCTATGTTATGTGCGTGCACAAGTGTGAAAACTCGCATTAGTACGCGAGTAACATAGTATATATAGTACAAGAAAATCTGGCGGGGTTGCATACATGATTATTTCGTGCAGAATAGTATAGACTAAAGTCTGTTTCTGACTGTTCGTCAATGAATTAATTATAGTAAATATTGTAAACAAAGCGTTAAGTATAGTAAAACATTCTAGCTTTGCTCTTTAAATAAATTAATATGGTGACACAAT